CGTTTGTGGCCCCATCGAGGGGTCGTATTCTGTCGCTGGGGAGGGGGGTTGCAGAAGATGCTCCTCCTCTGGAAAAGGGGCGTATATTGCAAAACTTTCTCCAGTGGTAGGGCGTACCCTTCTAAGAGCTACAATCAACAGTCTGTCCGTGTGAGGGTTAGTTGCCTGCCTACTCCCTAGCCATCAGATGAAGGAAAATATCTCCAAATGAGTAATACTTCATCCTGCTTCAGATTCGAACGCCCTATAAAGTTCGGTATGGGAAAGATCTTGAAAATGAGCTGAAGAGGGAGCTGTCGGGCGATTTGGAAGAGGTCATATGTAGGTAGATTTTCTTGTTCCGAAGTTTGACTACGAGCAGTTATAGAGCACATTCTTTGACAAAACTTCTCATTTCCAGTGGCCCTTATGCAAACTCCCACCAAACGAGACGTTTTAGACCTCCAGAAAGCCATGAAGGTAGTGAGATGAAGTTTATTCTCGAATTTTCGTTCATGTTCATGAAATTCTGTTGAAAACATTTCTACAGACGATTTCAGGGTTTTGGTACCAACGAGAAAGTTCTTATAGAAATCCTCGCTTCGCGTAGCAACGACGAAATCCGGGCTATACGGTTTGTCGCTCTGTTTGTAATTGTAATTTCGGGATCGAAGTTTTATTGACAAGTCAGGCCACTACAACTTCAAAGTCCGTGGTTCTGGGTTTCATTTGATATCGTCGCAATCAGTCGGGGGGGGGGGGGGAAGGAGTTGTTGGGAGTGAGCCGACACACGACGTTCCACTAATGGTTGTTTTGTTCTAAATGATCACGAACGATCACTACTAGTAGACATTTAATTATAAGTTCAGGTTGTCAGGCTGCGTACAGTACCCCCGAAATTGCGCGTGAGATTAATTGTATTGGCCGTGATGCACACAAGGGGACCGGGACGGACCATACGTGCTCTCACTGCGAGGGTCCAGGGGTATTTTCACGAGGCATCTACCAGTCCAGTAGGAGGGAGAAGGTAAAGGAGGAGGGATCAGAGAAGGAAGGAAGGAAAAGAAGGAAGGAGGAAGAAAAAATGAAAGAGAGGAGAGGCTTCCCGGTTGACAAGTGCCCTGAGACGACCGGTGGACCCATTGATTTCGGTCCGTGGACCTGGCCGGGGGCGGTGGCTGGGTAGGTCGGGCGGTCGTTTCGGGTGGCTATTAAACAGGACCTTTTAAACGCACCTCACTGTTGTGGCAACTAAATCACGATCTAGGTTGGCCTATTGTGTGCAATTTCAAGACGAGACCATTTTTAACTTCACGCGCAATTTTCTGGAGGCTACTGTAGTACGCATCCTGACAAGCTGAACTTATAATCTTGTCTAGTAGACAAGGCAGCCTGATGCGAACTCTTTCTTATATCGCTCCGACTGATTGCAGTGATTTCACATTCAAGCCTTTTTCTCTTGAGAATAGCTGTTCCCTTTTTCGGCTGCTCACTCACTTCAGGAGAAGTACTTACAGAAGTATTCTGACAAAAGAACTGGCTGTTCAGAAATACATTCTATACGACATACGACAAATCACTCGAGGAGGCGATATGGGCAGAGACGTCGGGTGATTTCCGGCGGATGTTAGTGCTTCTTCTGCAAGGTAGTCGTGATGAGTACGGCATCCCACAGTACCACAAAGCAGTACGGGTAGGTCACAATTCATTACTATTTCAGACTCAGACTGATGCGACTTACTTGAGGGCATAAGGCATGATAAACTGATTATGTCCATGGGGTCGAAACGCTCACCCTCAAGGCAAAAGGAAAGCCGTGGCAATCAATGTGTGGGCTTTCCGGAGGGCCAAGCCTCTAGAGCGGCCTCAACGAAATCCTACATGTTAGAAGGACCACCTTCTCCCTAGAAGGGCCGCCTACAAGCATCAGCACCAGGCACATCGATACTGGCACTCCCATCGCTTCACTTATAAAAGGCAACTATTGATCATGAGATTGGCGGCTGCTCTAAGTATACTTACAGGCGGCCATATGTAAAGGAGCGCTTTTTGGCATTATGCCAGCGGGAAACTTGTCCAAACTTGCCATGCTCGTCCCTCGGTCGTACCCTCGTCCAGCGCCTTGCAGAGCAAGCTTCTTAGATTGCCGAATGTTAAGTTGCTTCTGCCAAACGAGGTTGTTAGGTGAACCTTTTATTGGCCTAACGTTTCGACCTTCTCGTCTTCTTCAGAGGCCTGAAAATGGCTCGAAGCTTTTATTTGTTACCTACCCGACCAAACGCCTTCCCCACTCTAGCGTTTCCGACGTCATGTCGCGAACGCTCCCGAACAACCCGGTATAACTGCGAGCAACTCACCGAAGG